TGTCTGCCTCTCAGCCTCCTTCCAGTTTTTTTTCTTTCTTTCTGGATGCACTTTGCAGAACCAAGTCAAGTTGGTGATTGGTACTGGATGACTATCTGAAGCAGCATGACAAAAAACATGAGAAGTTTCAATGGAGTCCACAATTAAATCTGAGACATTAAATCATCAGCTCAGAACCACTCTGGAGATAGCCATGACTCATGCAAATTTCAAGCATGACAAAATAATGAAATAATGATTATAAGTCCCTCAAGAAGGAGGTGGGTTGGAAATGGGTGAGCTAAGAAATATTAGGTGTCATTGGTAATTCTAGAAGTACTATGAAAGAATGAAAGTGCTCCCCATTTAGTTCTTTCCAAGCCTGCAAAAGGCCTAATCTATTCACATACTGTAATTATAATGTATCCCTAGGTATGGCATATATAGCAAAAGCATGCAAGTGAGACTGGAAAAACAGAGCTGGTAGAATTGCCTGTGCATTAATGCTACAGAGAGAAAGAAACATAGTTTTTTGGTTTAAAAATTTTTTTTTCTAGCTAATGTGGAATTCTTCTCTCTACAGGCTACTGTCTTCCACTTGAGAAGCTGAATTCTGTTTCGTCAGAGGCCTTCCTCAGAGAAGGGAGAGCTCTTGGCAATAGTGGACTAGAATATTTTGTCTATTAAAAACAGAGCCAAAAGAATGCCCTTTGACACTCAGGCTCTGCCACATCCTCATCCCTGTGCTGTAGCAGGCATCCTATTTACAGTGTCCAGTGGGCTAGAAAGATTCGGTGACACTCCATAAGCTCTGCTTCCTAGAAGAGCTGTTTTGCACAGCCAGAATCATAAAATAAGACAAGCATAGCAGTTGCCTTGGGTTCTAGATTTTGCTCTTTATTACGAGCCTTTCCAAGCAGCTTACAAATGACTATCAGCTGAAGATAAATACCTGGACTTTCTTTGGGAAAGGACAACTCTACTTTCAATAGTGTCTACATCCTGCTCATCTCAGAACTTTATTGATGACATGTATTTTATACTTTTTAGAAAATAAAACTTTCTCATGGAAAATGTAGCACAATAACAAATCTCAGGCCCCTTAGTTAATGGAATTCTTCATTAGTGCCAGTAAACCACATTGAAAATCCCACAAAGAATATCTATATTTTTAGCCTTTGAAGAAGTCCATGCATTGATTTGATGTTGATTTATTTGTTTGTTTCCAAAGAGAACATCTTCTTGGGGTTTTATGCAACTTTTATTTATCGTATGTATAGAAAGTCCTTAATGATTGGCGTATCTTGCAAAACTAGCTTATTTATTTTCATGCACCCTCAGATAATGAAGTACTATCCTGAATGCCAGAACTGAATTCCAAGATATTGAAAGCAAACATATTACAACTCTGAAAATTAGTCTAAATATCCACTCAATCACTTCACAGATAAATGAATACAATGGGAAACTAATATAAAGGCTTTGTCTGGAGTATTCGCCTCATGGGGAAAAACTGCAGAAAATGAAATGGATATCACCATTTAAGGCTTCTTCTTAAATGAAAAAAAAAATTGAAATTGCTACTAAGTTTTTGTCAGTCTGATTTATTTTCTTAGACACTCGTGTCTCATTTTCAAGTATCAAAGCAAGTAATGACAACTTTTATATCCTTTACTTCTAGGTAATATACTGTCCTAAGGCCTGAAGTGTTCCCTAAAGTCAAATATAAGAACACTACAGGGAAATTGTTCATTAGTTTATACTATGTACTCATCTGCCTTTAAATATCATTTTAATTATTTGTACTAATTGACAGACTAGATCCCCTGGAAACCATGAAAAATCTACTAGTGTGATCATTAGTATTTCTAAACCTTTAATCTCATTAGATACTTAACATTTCTCTTGTTATTTAATAAGGGAGCAAAATTTGATTGCCATTTTGCTGTTTATAACATTTGTCTTCCCAAAAATCCTCATTACCATTAGTAAAGAGCAACGTGATAATAATATTATTATTTAAGTATTATCATAACAGTAATAGTAACGATGGCTGATAACCTGACTTCCACTCTTGGCTCTGTCAATTGATTATTTTGGGGGCCTTGGACAAGTCACTTAACTTCTCTGAGACTCAATTTTCTAACCTATAAACCGGAGATGTGAACATCTGGTCAGTTACAGGGAGGCTGTGCATATTAGATAACACTTTCGAAGCATTTTAATGTGTTGCTATATTCTCGTTGCACAGAAGTTTTACTCCTCTTTTCAGTGGTGGTCTCATTACCACCATCACCATATTCATCATCATCATCATCAGCAGCAGCAGCAGCAGCAGCAGCAGCAGCAGCAGCAATTTTATTGGGACAAGCATAGTAAAAAGCTGCCCAGGAAAATGTGACAAAAGGCAAACTTGTGGAATAAGGCAAGTAGGCTTCACATTGTATTAATTTCCTATGGCTGCCCTAAAAAAAAATCATAAAATGTGTAGCTTATAAAAACTAACAAACAAAAAATCCCACAAAAAAACAGAAATTCATTCTCTCACAGTTCTAGAGACCAGAAGTCTGAAATCAAGGTGTCAACAAGGACATATTGCCCCCAAAAGCTCTAGAGGAAAATCTTCCCTTGTCTCTTTCAGACGCTCTCAGCTCCTGGTACTTCTTATCTGGTGGAAACATAACCCCAATCTCTGTCTTCACATGTCTTCTTTGCTGGGTGTCCAAATTCCACTTTCCTTTCTCTCTTAAAGACAGCAGGCATTGGATTTAGGGCCCAATCTAAATCTAGAGTGATTTCATCTTGAGATTTTAATTATTTACATCTTCAAAGATCCTATTTACAAATAAGGTCACATTCTGAGGTTCTGTGTGGTCACAATTTGGGGGACACATTGCTAACTCCAATACAATGGTAAAAACTAACTGGGGACCTGTTTTAAGAATTTTAAGGCTGAAATCAGGATCGTTAGGAAAAAGCACCAGGATCATGAGAGTGGCATGGAAAGTGGATGCATGTTTGCTGTGTTCTTGTCATCATTAAACACTTATCTATGAGAGAACTGAGACTTAAAGATTTTTCAATGCCCAAGATCACTCAGTGGCAAAGTTGTAGTAGAAATAAAATCTCTTGACTCAAAATTCAGTGTTCTATTCACTATACAATTTAATAATCTTTACTGACCTCAGCACTTTTCTAGAAATTATTAGTAAAAATATAAATATAAGACCTTGAAAATTGCTGATACCTTAATACTTATATTGTTTTAATTGGTCAGACTGGAATAGTTAAGACCCATTTGGCTGACTTCCATTTGAAGCTCTAACAGAGTAATTGGCATAACATTAATCTTTCACCTGAGAACAACAAAAAAAAGCTAGCTACAATTTAAAGGAAAACTTTTGAAAGCTTTGAAGAGTTGTTGTAGCTGATGTTGCTATATTTCAAGGAAAGTATTACTAGTAACAAAGAAGGGCATTTCATGATGACAAAAGGTGGTAAGTATGAATTCAATAAGAATACATAAAAGCACTCTAAATTTATAAGCATCTAAAAACATACCTTTAATATAAATTTTTAAAAAGATAGAATTAACAGGTTACATAGGCAAATCAATATTTATAGTTGGAGGTTTTTAACTACCTCTGTTTCTCATGAAAATCATAAGCAGACAAAAAAAATCACTAAAGTCATACAAAATCTGAACGATTAAGAAATCTAACATAACTAATGTACCCAATTACTGAAAAAGACATGTTCTTTTCAAGTGAACATGGCATATTACCAATATTGACCATTTGCCTATGGCACAGAGCTGGTCTACTCAAATTTCAAGGGATTGAAGTCATTTAGAGTATGTCTTCTGACCAAAGTAGAATCACGCACAAATTAATCACAAAATGTATATAAATATTGGATTTCAAGCAAAATACTTCTAAATTAACCATGAGTAAATGAGTAAAGAAGGAATTACAGTAAAAATTAGAAAATATTTTAAAAAAATAATAATGAGGATACCACATATTAAAACTTCTGGAATGCAAAAAAGTAATAATAAAAACTTGTAGAATATAGCTAAAACAATCTGTTGTGGCACATTCAGAGCCTTAATTGCATGTATTATAAAGAAAGGAACACTGAAAAATTAATCATCTATACCTTGATATTAAGAAGTTAGATGAAAAATGCAAATTAAATCCAAAGGGGGTATAAAGAAGGAAATTTTTTTTAAATAGTAAAAAACAACTGAACATAGAGAAAAATCAATAAACTCCAAATGTTTGTCCATCATAAAAAGCTAATGAAGATTGATAAACTTCTAACAAAATTGATTAAAAAAACAACAACAACAAAAAGAAGAGACAGAAATAAACAATATCAGGAATGAAAAACATCCTACAACATTAACAATAAACTTAGGGGGTTATCATGCACAGCTTTATACCAATGCATTTAAAACTAGAGATAAAATGGGCAAATTCACTAAAAAATAACTTATTAAAACTGATATGAGAAGAAATAAAAAGTATGAACAGTGCTCTATTAAAGACATTAAATTTCTAATAAAAGTATTTTCACAGTATAATCTTCAGGCCAGATGGAAACATCAGTAAGTTCTTCCTAATATTTAAGTAATAAGTAATAGCAGTTTACTACAAACTCATTCAGGGATTAGAAAAAGAGGGAAGACTTCTCAGCTTGTTTGATGAGGCCAGCATAAACTTGATGCCAAAACTGACAAGGATATTACAAAAAAATTATGGAACAATCTCAGACACACACACACACATACACAAGCTCACGCACGCACGCGCACGCACACACACACACACACACATTTTTCAAACTAGGCATAAGGGTAGATGGAACAGGCATGTGAGACCAGGCTATTGTCATTATTTTCTCCACATGTCCTTCATTTCACTCTTCAGAAGAACAACCTTGTGCTTCTGAGACAGAAAAGGAGTGTGTCTTTTTTATTGGAAAGAAGGCAACACAATAGGAGACGTACCCTTCTGAAGTCATGTATATTTATTAAATCCCACCAGAGAAGTGATGCTCTCTTTTTCAAAATTCATCATAGTACTCTCTACTAGTAGTCTTCCCTTCCATGCTTGTGTGTGGTAACTGAGTGAAATGGGAAAAGTAGAAGAAGCATGAGTCAGACACTGCTAGGTTCAGTCCCGGCTCTCCATTTATTGGCAAGGTGATAACGGGTAAGTTACTTCTCTCTGAGCCTTAGTTTTCTCATATAAATAAAATAATTGGTCAATAGTATTTATCTTGAAGTAGGGAAGGGGATTAAATGAGATAATAGATATGAAAATGCCTAGCACAAATTCTGGCACATAAAGATTTATACGTGCACATAGAAAGACAGATTTTTCTGAAGCTGGAGATACTGTCTGCATTAGTTATTTACATGGTTATGCCACTTAAAGTCACCATTGACTACCTTTTTCTATGTACTAAGAGCAATAAATGCACACCCCTAAAAGGTTATTATTTATTGTTGCAGCTTCTTGTAATGTGTCTGTGTGTACATCACATGCATTTTAATTAGGATGTATATGCTGCCTTTTAAAACATACTAGTTAGAGAGATGATGAACAGACTACTTTTGGGGGCAGGGAACAGCAATGTCCACTAATCAATATAAGCACTCTAGGTACTTCATAACAAATCAGAAAAAATCTTTTTGAAGAATTGTCTTGATAAAAAAGTGCTCTGGGGTATATCAGAGTAAAGCAAGTCATAAAAGTGTCTTTGACTCATGAGATGGCATAATATGGATGAAAAGGAAGAGTCAGTAAAAACTCTGGGCTTGCATTTCCTCACCTAAGCCAGACCCCCTGTGACTTTTGTCTTTAAAATATCCTTGCAAAACATTTCCTTACCTGGAATATACCTTCCCCATATCTCTGCCTCGAAAATTGTTACTCATGTTTCAAAATCACACATTCATTCAATCGAAAATGTCTATAAAGCCCTTAATATGTACCAAGAATTGTGCAAGTCATCGGAGTTTCAACGGTGAGCAGAATCAGACTGTGACCTCTTCCTTACGTGCTCAGCCTCTGCACCAACGTCCTGTAAAGCTTGCCCTGATTGCTCCCTCCCTGGTCTCAGAACTCTGGCTGTCCACATGGTATTAGAGAACACTCTGTGTGTTTACATGGATGCCTCTCCAGCCTGGCAGGCAGCTCTACAGAAGTTAGGCCTGAATCACTTCATCTCTTCCCCCTCAGTGCACACCTCAGAGTCTGACACATAGTGGACACTCAATAAATGTTTGTTGAATAAATCATTTGTAATTCATGAAGCCTTGGTACAGTCAAATCTGTTAAATAATTTTGCTAATAAATATGAGAGAAAGGAAAACAATTATACTCAGGAAAATTATACTTTTTTGAGATATCCCATGTTTTTTCCTGTTTTATTAGATTTTATTAGCAGTCCTAGTAGCTACTTAAAATATATCTATCTATGAAGTTAATGTCATTGATTTTTAAAGAGATGCACAGTATAAATATAGGTAAAATTATGCCTGATTAGCTTTTTCAAGTTTAAAATCATGAGAATTTTTGAAAAAATAATAAGATGAGCTTCCATTTAATTGGAAATAATTATGTATGTAAATGATTTAATATATGAGAAAATTTGTTAGGTTTTTATACTAATCAACAATATTCATCTAGAAATGGAAAATGGTAGAAGACATTCATAAAATCTGACTTAACGACACTGAGGTCAGAATATCCTCTAAACAGAGATAACATTGTTTATTTAAAAACACTTTGTATAGATCTAAAACTTTCCTGACATTTATAAAAATGTGCTAAACTGTCCCTGAAAAATGAAAAAAAAACCCTGTCATTATTTGTGCCAAAAAAAAAGTAGAAGAAGCCATTCTTCAAGTAGAGCTAAGTGGACTCCAGAGGCTTTAGTAGCATAAATATCAAGGGAACTTTGGAGATAAAGAGATATAGTTTCCATCTATGTATTTAAATAATTAAAATGTTTAGCCTTTAATCATCATGCTCAAAATCACATGCAAAAGGACCGAAGATTGAAAGTATGAAAGTACCTACTTGGTCTGATGTTTAGATCCTTTCAGGTGGGCATGATACTGTTCTATTGAGTTTAGAGAGACACTGCAGATGGTACATCTATAATTGCGCCTCAGACCTGTAGATGACAGACAGACCTGATTAGCTGCATCTTTGTCATCAACTACCTGAATGAATCCTTAAATCTCCAAAAGTTCAGGGACAGAGTATCTTGGAGGTTATTTGGTGCACCCCACCACCACCAACACTTCAATCCTTCCCTCCAAGCCCAGTTGACAGGTCCCTTAGTGGAAGTATGACTGTGACTATGTTAGAAGCAGCCTGCTCTATTTATGGATGATGGATATTATTTGAACATACTTTTTTGAGGTAAAATGTTTCTGGACATTTTATGATCCAAATGAAGAAGCATTCTATTTTTTCCTCAAGGCATATACACATGCTAAGCTGTCATATCTGCAATAAAATTTGAGACTCCAGGGAAAAACTATCTCAATTCCTCTTTCACATCTATTCTGACAGCAGAATCAGAAATCATTCATTTGGGGAATTGTTCCAGGATCATCTTATAAAATGTAAATACCAGGAGAAGGACAATATATTAATCTAATTCACATAAAAGCCTACTTTCTACCAGAGAGTTTAAAAGAAAGTTATTCATTCGTTTATTCATTTAATTAATTCATTAATAGAGTATCGACTTTGAATTAGGCATTACAAATTCCAAGATGAATAAGATACCCTTTGCTTTCAAGGAGTAAAATCTGATTCCTTTGTCATACTGACTCATCTAGAAACAAATATGTTAGAAAGCAGTTTTAACCAAACTTTAAACATTTGTCATGGCTCAGAGACCCACATGGAACATATTCCTTTTGACAGTGTGTTCCTTCAGAGTAAGGAGAAAAGTAAACTCAGAGTCATGATCTGAAACTTTGGATTAAAATTCTGGCTTGTGTGATTTAGGCTAAATCATGTCATCTCTTCCTGGCTTCAGTTTCCTCATCTACAAGATTAAGACAAGGCTATTCACATTACAAGAATTAATATAAGAATTAAGTGAACAAGATTTAGTAAAATGCTTAGCAAGTGAGAGTTGTTAATAATTTTGCTCCAAAATTCTATGTCTTACCATTGCAAAAGTCAGGGTGCTAAATAATTGTATCATTTTTTTCCCTGATGAACACCTAGTATTCCATTTCTAAGAGACAAAATCATTCTTATTTTCCTAAAAAGAAAATAATGCACAGTGTTGGAAGAATTTTGTAGCCTGCTACCTGGTGACTTTATACAAATTATCTGACTTCTCTGTAGTTCTGTTTCCTTATAGGATTGTGGGAACAATAGAGTGTGATAAAGCCTGTATGAAAAAGTGTCTGGCACGTAAGAAGTGATCAACATAATTATTAGTATGATTTTAAAGAGATGTTAAAATGGAACACTTTAAGTCCCAAAGTCCCAGATGAAGCCCTGAATTGTAGCCTTAAGACATAGATGCTAACTACATCCACATTGCTAAAGTGAGGTATGAGAGCCCCAGTTTAGGACATCTAAAGGAAGACGTCAAGCACCAGCTTCCAACGAGTTGGAGTTTAACTTACCCTCCTCCACGCAAGATGGGGAATCCCTCTCTTACCTCAAACCCATGGTAAAAGGATTAAATGAACTACCTAGAGAGTTTGAGGAGTGCCTGCTTACACTTAGCAATGTACTGGACATTTTATACCACCTACAAGATCCAAAGGGCTAGAGACTAACGGCAAAGGAAGGGAGGTGTCAGGATTGAGCACAGACTGTATTCCCAAAGTTTGTCAGAGCAAAAGATATATTTCCCACAGACGACATGAATAACATATATGAGAGGAGCTGGTTTGGCGATATCTTAGATAGTGGAGTCGGGGGCAATGAGATTGCATCAGAATGATGCTAGAAGTGTGTATCTGAATATCTAGGGTCTTAAAGTGATCCCAGAGGGAATATTTAGCTCATATCAAGTAATGGCTACTAAACAGTCTTGAGATCCTTTTTGAAAAGAGTCAGTTTGCAACCCCTGCCAAGTCAGGCAGCACCTGTGCTAGCTTTGTATATATATCTATTCTGCAAACTTTTAGCCTCTTTGCCCTTCTATCCTGATACCATGCATCTTTCAGCCCTGGAGGAACCTGGAACGACCTGCTGAGGTAAAGGAAGAAAAGCAAAATCCCAGAAGAAAGGCAAAAGCCCCAGGTAGAGGAAAAGAGAGGAGCCTACTGCCCTCTC